GGAGGGGCTGCCCTGGGCAGAGGTGCCTGGTGCTGACGCAGGGGGTGAGGACCCGCGCCCAGCAGGGCCCTGGGGCAGGAACAGGCTCGGGGGCAGTGGCGGGGCCGTGCGGGGCTCGGGCTGTGCCGTGGCGCACGGCAAGAGCCGTTCTGCGGGCTGCCAGCCCCTCCTGTGCCTCGAGCGGGGACCGAGCGGGGACCGAGCGGGGACCGAGCTGGGACCGAGCGGGCAGAGCGGCCGGGACAGCCCCAGCACAGAGCGGGCACCCCGAGCCCGGCACCCCGAGCCCGGCACCCCGAGCCCGCACCCCGAGCCCTGCACCCCGAGCCCTGCACCCCGAGCCCGGCACCCCGAGCCCGCACCCCGAGCCCGGCACCCCGAGCCCTGCACCCCGAGCGCGGCACCCCGAGCCCGCAGGGCCGTGGGCGCGGGGACAGGGCGTGGGGTGGCACGGCCACGGCATCCCCGGGCCGGCAGCGCCGAGCGGACACCGGCTCCGTGCGGGACCGCCGAGCATCCCCCGCCCGCCGCCAGCGGACAGCGCGGGTCGGTGACAGCCCGCCTGCCCCGCCTGGCCACCAGCCCAGGGATGTCCCCACTGTCCCGCACCTCCACCGCGGGCAGCTGAGCTCGGAAGGCGTCAGCTCTGCCCCAGCAGCGCCCTGGCCCGCTGGCTCCGTGTGCCCGCATTTCCCTGCGCTGGGGCGGGGATGCTCCCTGCTGGGGCCGGGCATGCAAAAAACCACACGGACCTTCCGCGTGTGCGGGTGTGCTGGGGGCGGACTGGGTCTGTGCCTGCCTGCCCGTGCCCCGCCAGCCCCGACTGACGGCCTGGGGGTGCTTACCGAGCTCTGCGCCCCGGGCATACGCAGGGCAGCTGGGGAGGCTGCCCGGGGCACCCCAGGGTGCGCCCGCCAGCCCTGAGGGTTCGGGCCGCACCCTCGGGTGCGCTGAGAGTCACCCTTGGCCGCAGGAGGGAGATCATTCTGTGCTCATGTGCCCGGTCATACACAGCACACACAGTCTGTGTCCGTGTGTCCATGTGTGCCCTGTGTCCGTGTGTGCTCTGTGTCCGTGTGTCCGTGTGTCCGTGTGTGCATGTGTCCGTGTGTCCGTGTGTCCGTGTGTCCATGTGTCCGTGTGTCCGTGTGTCCGTGTGTCTGTGTGTCCATGTGTCCGTGTGTCCGTGCGGGTGTGCCTGCGTGTCTGCACCCCCAGCCTGAGGGGGAAGGAATGGAATCAGTGCCCGTGTCTCGGCTGTGCGTGTGGCAGTGGGTGTGCCAGATCCCTGCGTGCAGATGTGTGTGTCCGTGTGGCACAGCAGCTGTGCACGCTGGCATGAGTGCATACGTGTTGTGTGCGAGCCCGTGTTTGCACAGCAGTACACGTGTGCACATAGAGTGTGTGTGTGCACATGGAGTGTGTGCGTGCACATGGAGTGTGTGTGCATAGAGTGTGTGTGTGCACATTGAGTGTGTGTGTGCACATACAGTGTGTGTGCACATAGAGTGTGTGTGTGCACATGGAGTGTGTGTGTGCACATGGAGTGTGTGTGTGCACATGGAGTGTGTGTGTATGGAGTATGTGTGTGCACATGGAGTGTGTGTGCACACAAAGTGCAGCCCGTGGGCATTCCCACATGTGTGTGAGTGCACAGTCTGTGTGCACACACTTTGTTCCCCATGCCCACGTGTTCCCCCAGTTTGGGGATGCCCATGTGTGCTCACACCCAGCTCTGCGTGTTCCCGCTGTGCCTGTGTGTGGTGTAGGTGTACATGCATATTTCTGTGCATGCACAGCGTTGGGTGCACATCTATGTGCACAACTCAAGGCATGGGGGCCTGTGTGTGCTCAGGGGCTGTGTGTGAGCCCGTGTGTGCCCAGGGGCTGTGTGTGAGTCTGTGTGTGCCCAGGGGCTGTGTGTGCCCAGGGGCTGTGTGTGCCCAGGGGCTGTGTGTGTCTGTGTGAGCCCAGGGGCTGTGTGTGCAAATCTGTGTGTGCCCAGGGGCTCTGTGTGAGCTTGTGTGTGCCCAGGGGCTGTGTGTGTGAGTCTGTGTGTGCCCAGGGTCTGTGTGTGTGTCTGTGTGTGCCCAGGGTCTGTGTGTGAGCCTGTGTGTGCCCAGGGACTGTGTGTGAGCCTGTGTGTGCCCAGGGGCTGTGTGTGAGTCTGTGTGTGCCCAGGGGCTGTGTGTGCCCAAGGGCTGTGTGTGTGAGCCCGTGTGTGCCCAGGGGCTGTGTGTGAGCCTGTGTGTGCCCAGGGGCTGTGTGTGTGAGTCTGTGTGTGCCCAGGGGCTGTGTGTGCAAATCCGTGTGTGCCCAGGGGCTGTGTGTGAGCCCGTGTGTGCCCAAGGGCTGTGTGTGAGTCTGTGTGTGCCCAGGGGCTGTGTGTGAGTCTGTGTGTGCCCAAGGGCTGTGTGTGAGCTTGTGTGTGCCCAGGGGCTGTGTGTGTGTCTGGGCTCAGGCTTTGTGTGTGATCTCATGTGTGTCCTGCTATGCATGTGGGAGCTCGTGTGCACCCCAGAGTGCGTGTGATCCCTGTGTGCCCTGAGGGGTGGGTGTGTGTGCCTGCATGTGCCCCAGGGCTGTGGGGGTGCCCATATTCACCCCGGGGCATGTGTGTGAGCCCATGTGGGACCCGGGAGGGTGTTGCAGGTGGCCATGCGTGCCCCGGGCAGTGTGTGCGAGCCCATATGTGCCCGGGCTGGGTGCGGGTGCCCGGCTGTTCCCCAGGGTGTCTGTGGGTGCCCGTGTGTGCCCGGCTGTTCCCCAGGGTGTCTGTGGGTGCCCGTGTGTGCCCGTCTGTTCCCCAGGGTGTCTGTGGGTGCCCGTGTGTGCCTGGCTGTGCCCGGGGGTGTCTGTGGGTGCCCGTGTGTGCCCGGCTGTTCCCCAGGGTGTCTGTGGGTGCCCGTGTGAGCCCGGGCTGGGTGTGGGTGCCCGGCTGTTCCCCAGGGTGTCTGTGGGTGCCCGTGGGTGCCCGGGCAGGGTGCGGGTGCCCGGCTGTGCCCGGGGGTGCTCGGAGCGCGCAGCCAGCCGCGCTTACATAAAGGCTGCAATGCGGGCAGCGGCCCCGGGCCCGGGCAGGACCCCGCACGCCGCGGCTCGGCCGAGGGGCACCGCGGGGCCGGGGCGGGGTGGCCGCGGGGGCGGTGGCTCGGGTCCCGCCGGGGACGGGGCGGGGAGGGGGTCGCCGTGCCGGGGTACCTGGCTGGAGATGAGGTCCTCGCAGACGGAGAGGGCCATCTGGATGGCATTGGGCTTGTGGGTGACGGAGGTGGCGTTGAGCTGAAGCTTCCAGGTGCCGTGCCGCTTGTTGGCCTGGTTCACCGCCTCGCGGAAGATCTGCTCGTGCTTCTTGGTGCTCAGCACCGCGCCGATATTGACGATCTTAGGGTCGCAGCCGGCGCGGGCGAAGGACGAGGAGAAGAGGAGGGCGAGCAGCAGCAGCCGCATGGTGCTCATCCACGGGCGGCCCGGAGCCCGCCGGGCCCCCCGCGCCCCCCGCCCGCCCGCCCGCCCCGCGGGCCGCCCGCAGGCTCAGCGCGGCCCCATCGGGCTGCCGGGGGTCCCGGGGCCGTGCCCGCCGCTCGGGGCTCGGGGCTCGGGGCTCGGGGCTCGGTGCGGGGCTGCCGGGCGCTCTCCCCGGTGCTGAAGCGCCCTCGCCGCTGCCGCCGCTCCGCCCCGCGCTGCCGCAGCGCCCGCCCCGCGCCCGCCCCCGGGACCCCCGCCCGCCCCGCCGCTGCGGCAGAGCCCCCCTGCCTCCCTCCCTCCCTCCCTCCCTCGGGGTGCTGCGGGGTGCTGCGGGGTGCCGCGGGCTCGGTGGCACAGCTGGCAGGACGCGGGTCCCGCTGTGCCCGTGCCGCCGTGCGGGTGAGTCCCGCACCTCCTGCGAGAGCCGCTGGTGCGGGAGGGGCACAGCTGGTGCGGGGCTGGGCTCTGGGGGTCCCGCTCCGCCCTTTCGGGATCTGGGCATTCCCGGTGCCCTGAAGGCACGGACACACCAGGCACGCACTAAACCAGGGACTGGGGATAAAACACGGTGCATGGGTTTGTTCCCCACATCAATATTCCCGGTTATGCAGCACCTCTGCGCACTTCCGCAGCTCTGCCCGGGGACGGCTGTGTGTGGCATGGACTCTGTCATGGTCTGTGTGTGCTCCAGTGCTGGGGAAGCCTCCCTTGACCAGCCCAGCTCCTGGGCAGAGATGTTCAGTGGACACTCAGCCTGGTTCCTTGGCTTCACTCTGTCCCTCCAGACAGAGCCACCACTCTTCCAGACATTAGCTCACAGGGCAATCAGCCATTTTCCTCCATTAAATTCACCAAATTACTTTGGGATATAACCTTAAGATTTCTCTGCTGAGGAGATTTCTTGGGGTTCTCATCATCTACCTGTTGTTGGGCTACCATTAGCCTCCCTTAAGAAATGGAGGCACAGCAGCCAGTGGCCCACATCTGGAGGGCAGTCCAGCTCCATGTCAGAAAGAGATTGAGTTTCACTCTTGGACTGTGTCTGTCCCATTCCGGGGCCAGAGGGCTGAGGTGGCCAGAGCAGCACGTTGCTCCCCAGACCTGCCACTTCAGCCTTTCTGGAGAAAAACAACAGGGTTTCAGGTAGTGAGAGGGTGTTGGTTGTCCCTGTATGGCACAAACCCCACAGCCAGGCCAGGCAGGGAATAGAGCGAGCAGTGCAGAACCAAAACCACCAGGGATATTTTCACGCCGCCATTTCCGGGGTGCTGCTGCAGCCCACCTCTGTCCTTCCTTTGCAACGTGAGTTGAAGCAGAATATTTTCCCCCAACGCAAATTTTCTCGCTGGCATCTCTGAAGTGTGAGTTGCCATGGAAACCATTTTGCCTGTGTCCCACATTGCCCACATGCACTCGGAAGGAGCTGCAGGAGCAAAATGGCCGTTGTGTAATGCTGCAGGGCTCGGCGTGCCGGGCTTGGGGGCTCTGCAGCCTCTTCCAGCCCCGAGACCCTCTCAGGAAGCTGCAGACCACTGCTTGGGGAAGCAATGAAACCCATGGAGGTCATGATGTGCTTCGTGAGAGAAGGAAAATGGCCTCACCTCTCCTTAGCTCTCGCAGTGCTTGGTGTGCAGCTCCACACCAACCCTGCTGTGCTCATGGAAAAGGCTTCCAGGAAATCTTAACCCTTTTCAGTGTCACCATGTCATTCCCACCCCCCACGCATGGAGCCGAGGCCCTCGCTGGATTCACACGAGGTGGGTTTGTCTTGAAGGGACAAAGGGTGAAAGGCAAAGAGGGTTTCATCCCTACCCTCAGTCTGCACAGAGCTGACTTGATTCCTTCCTCTGCCTACCAGGTGCACCTGCAGTGGGTTGTGTGGGAAGAAACTGCTCTGGAGTGGGCTGTACAGATCTGGATCCAGGTGGGAGCGACGGCAGTAGAATAACTAAGTGAAGACCTGGCCACAGCAGGTGGCTTGGCAGAGAAGACAAAGGAAAAAGGCAGGCTTTGAAACGTTATTTGGAGTGCAGGAGCTCTTTCCCTCTCATGACCTGGAGCTCCCTGCAGGGTGAAGGAGTGCAGCTAATGAGTCCCTCCTGTGCTGCCCAGGAGTGTGGGATGGCCATGCTTAGGATGGAGCCGACCGTGCTGGCAGGCTTTTCCCTCTGTGCCTCTATTTTTCATCTCCAGAGGCTCTTGTTTCTGGCACAGTTGTGGAGCTCTGGAAAACGCCTGCTTCCCTCTCAGGCCATGCCCCCATCGGTGCAGTGCTGGCAGCAGGAGCAGCCCGGATGACAATGCCCCACAGCCAGCACAGATGTTGTCACCACACGAGTCTCCCTCTCGCTGTGTCCTCAGGCTCTTTGATCCTCTGAAGGCAGAGGAGCCTGCAGGGCTTTCCCAGGCAGGAGCTGTGCGTGGGGAGCACAGCCACGTCCCCCAGCTGGTCCTGGCAGCCAGGGATGCTCTCTGCTTTCCCCGTCGCTGCCTCCTGGCATGTCGTGGCCCCCTCCTTGGCCATGACTGAGGGCAAGAACTGACCTGCTTTGCCTGTTAGCAATTAGTGCAGTGGGATCCTGCCCTTCATGCAGCACCTCCTGGATGCAGGGGTTGGACACGAGCATGGGAGGGCTGTGGGTGAGGTGTCCCCTCGCCAGTGATTGCTGTAACTCCTCCCAAGGCCAGAGTAACCCAGTGTAAAACCAGAGACCTCAGAGGAGCAGCACTGAACCCAGCTGGAAGTTTCCCCTGCCTCGGGGTAAGGCATCAGTCCTGGTGGCGGAAAAGGCAATAGGAAATTTCATAGAAGACAAAATTAAGTATTAGGAATATGCAATTTGTGCCACTCTTTGTGGAGCTACCAAACAATTCTTCTTTTGAGAAAGCTGAAATGGAATTGAGAGCAGTAACTGCAGCACAGGCTGTGGAAATGCTTCCTGTGTGCAGCTGCAAGGTTAATCTGAGGTGTAAAATGGAGCAAAGCACATGCAGAGTGCCCACGGGCCCATGGCCAGGCTCCAAGGCCTGGTGCTGAGGAGATGCCGTGGGACGTGGGTGCTCCTACAGGGATGGAAGGATTTGGAATGCAGTTGCCACTTCAGTATTCCTGCCTTTGCTCTGGAAGCAATCACTGGTGATAAAATCTGTGAGACAGCAAATAATGATGCCAGAACACTCGGGTTCTTTGATAAGCACAGAACTGGAATGTATTTTAGGGCAACCAGTGTAGAGCCATGAAAACAGGAGCAAGTATTGCTGGTCCTGCTCTTTGGACATGACTGCAGATCCAGTGGGGACACTGATGGTGTGTGTGGTCCCTAATACTGACCTGGGGGTCATAGATCATGAATTTCCAAACAAAAAGGTGGCATTGTTGTCCTTGGATTCACCTTGAGGAGGCAGAGCAGCAGCTGGCAATGACTTGAGCCTCTGCAGGAAGCACTGGGGAACCCTGCACAGGAAGGCTGCCTGCAGATCTGGGGCTCAGTTCTTTACAAAGAGGCTGAAAAACAGAGAAACTATCCTTCAGAATATTTGGAGGAAAAGCTCCCCATGAGCTGCTCCAGCAGAGGGGAGAGCGGATGCAGTTGGAGCATGCTGCCTTCCAGGACAGGGACAGAGAACAGCACCAGACCCCAGCCTGAGCTCCAGGCAAGGACAGGGGACAAGGGCGGGTGCAGGGCCCCAGCAGCTCCTCACAGTCCTCCTGGAGGCTGGCACAGCGTGTCCTCACTGCCACTGCTCTGGCACTGTGGTTTGTGTGACGGCTGGGACACAGCAGGATGTCCTTGTCACGGATCAGCCACCCAGACCCGCAGGCAGGGGCTGGAGGCTGCAGGGGAAGGTGCCCAAGGGTTCCTGTGCTTCCTCTGGTGGGGGAGCTGCAAGGAGCAATGGGGTGGAAACCAAGGTGGGAATGTCTGAGCAGCCCCTTGGTTGCTTTTGTGTGTTCAAGCCCTGTCTCCCATTATTTTCCAGGCAGCATCCAGGAAGGACTGCAGTCCCTAAGTCCCTGTGCATGTCCTGAGTGCTCTCCCAGCTGAGAGGGACTGAGCCAGCTTCCTCTGCAGTTCAGAAGTGGCTGCTGGAGTCCCAGGCAGCACAGCTCCCTGCCCCAGGTATCCATGGGCATCCATGTAGCCCTTACCCAGCTCTCCCCACAGGAACGAGCTGCAGGCCCCCGGGGCCTTTGCCACCCTCCTGAGCAGGTTGTTTGGCACATCTGGAATCCCTGCTGTCACAGAAAGGAGCTGCAGCATCCCCTCCAGCAGGTGGAGAGAATGGAGGGGTCTCTCCCCCTGCACCACCCGTGTGCACAGACACCCCCAGCACCCAGCAGAGCTCTGCCTTCCCCCAGGGGCTGGGCACACACAGGGATGGGGGTTCAAACGAGAGGAAAGCAGTCAGTCTGGAGCACTGAGATGCTCCTGGGCAGGCAGGGGGATACTGGGGCAGAGGTAAGAGGATAGGACATGGAACGTCCATGGCTGGAGGCAGAGATGGTGAGAAACCCCAAACCACCTCCTGTGCAAGCAGAGGGAACTGAATGTGCAGAAGAAACACAGTCAGATGTGCAGTAGGAGGGGTGGGAAGTTCAACTGCGAACATTTTCTGAGGGAAAACCAGGGTTTGCATGTTTGAAATGCACTGTAGGGAAATTTTCATTTTGATAATATTCCAATTTTCTTCTGGAGAACCAGCCAGAAGCTGGGCTTCAGCTTCCTCCTGCACATCGTGTCCCAGGAGATTGGACAGTTTGTCCTCAGGGACTTCCAGGCCCCAGGAACTGTCACACAGCAGGGGCTGGAAAGCACCTCAGAGAGTCTGGTCACTGCTTGGGGATTCCCTGCCCTCCTTCACCTCAGAGGAGGCTGGAGCCTGGGCTGGGTGGTGTGGTGATGGAGATGGAGCATCATCACCATGCTGGGGACCATCAGCCCCCTGCAGCCCTTGGTGCCCCCACCACGCCCAGCCTGGGTGTCCCTGGGAAAGGTCCCCAGAGGGATGGGGCTGCCTGCCTTCCCCCAGCAGGGCTGGCACCAGGAATGGCACCAGGAATGGCACCCTCCCTCCCTCCCTCCCCAGGCACCCTGGGAACTCTGGCACACAGCAACGATCTCCATCCTGCCCACTGCAAGGAGGGGTGGCTGGTGCCTCTGCAGCACCTGCTCGAGCAGAAACCTCCCATTTGGAGGGGCTGGAGGGACCAAACTCCTTGGAAAGGGGCCACAGGAGGTTCTCCAGGTGTCTGTCTGGCGCCAGCAGAGCCCAGGTGGTGACAGGCACCACTGTTGGGCGGAGGTGCCACGGCTGTGCCCTGTCAAGAGGAGAGTGAGATCTCTGGGCATTTCCAACCTCCTGGAGCTGCAGTGAGGCTGAAACGGGAAGGGAAAAGGGGTCAATTGTGGGAATCCAGGGCTTCCCTCTGGCTGCCCTGGCAGGTCTGGGACCCTGGCAGGGGTCAGGAACCCCCCTGGACAGAGCCCCCAGAGACACTGGCTGTGATCTCTGTCCATGGAAAAGAGTTTTCAATCTTACAGAATGAATTACCAGCTCTGAGTGTTTGATATAAGAAATAATTAAGTGTGGCACGGGTGCAAAAGTAAAATTTTAGGATTCTAGATTAGGGGTCCAAAGGGGACAGGATGGAGGAAATTGGGTGTGTCTTGTCCTTTTTCTCCTTCTTCATGCCCTCCATGTTTCACTGTGGTGTTGGCATTTTTCTGTTGGTTCAGGCTGGGGACACACTGTCCAACGTAGGTGACAGATATTGGCACGTTATTGTAAATCCAGCACAGGTAGTTTGTGGTATTTAATGTTTGTACCATCCCACTGAGGGCAGAGCCCCACACGCTGCCCTGCAGGACAGAGCTGCGGCAGGGCAGCAGAACATGTTAGAGATAAACAGAATAAACAACCTTGAAACCAGCACAGACCAATTATGGCTTCTGCTTTGGCAGCGGGGCAGAAAGACAGAGACTTTCTACAATCTCAGAATCATCAATACCACAGATTCCAACAGTCAGTGACAAATGAGCTGCTCTGGAACTTGCAACCCTTGCAGAGACAGGACCCAGCTTTCAGAGTGATGGTGCAGAAACACCCATCACTGCGAGTGAGGATCACTTCCCAGGAGTTCCCACGTCTGAAACCCACCCCTGGGAGGAGGCAGCAGAGATCTGCTTTGGCTGTGTGCCCCAACCCCCTGTGCCCTGGCAGGAGCCACCACAGTGCCCAGAGCACCCCTGGTGTCCTGCCCCACCCTGCCCCAGCCGCATGTGGCTCTGTCCCCTTGCAGGGGGGATGCCAGGGGCATCTCAGTGCTCAGCACCTCATCCTGCTGCTGGGAGCTGCTCCTGTCTTTGCAAAGCTTCGGGAGCTCCTGGGGCTCTCCAGTCTGTGACGCTTCCCGGGAATACTCCTGACCTTAGGAGGACGGGAAACTGAGAGTGGCTTTCCAATCTCCCTGCTGAGGCTTTCAAAGACACCAACCATGATAAATGAGATGTGCACGGCCTTGGGAGGAGCTGAGCAAGAGAGCCCAACCCAGGCTGGCCCAGTGTGACAATGTGGCCTTTAGGGGCAGGAGCTGAGTGCCAGACTTGGTGCTGCACTGGATGCTCTCACCCCAGGAGTGGGGAGCCTGGCTGGGCTACAGCACCACCAGAGCAGATCAGTGGTGGGTGATGGCTCAAAACCACCCAAAACACGGGAATATGGTGACAAACCTGCCCCTAGAGAGCCGTGCCCTCCTGTCCTGTGTGATTGATGTTTGATGATAGGAGATCAAAATCTCATTGCTGAGGACAGAAAGAAAGATTGATTACACAAGGTCTATTATGAAACCAGCCTAAAAAAAAAAAAAAAAAACATGATGAGGCAGCACTGGTTTTGGAGAAAGCACTGCTTTAATCCCATCTCCTTCCCTGAAGGTCCCTGCAATGTGCTTACAAGTCAGCACTTGTGGAAAGCTCAGTCTCACAGAGG